CTCCACACTGGAGCACCGCCAGGGTGGGGTGGGGCTGAGTCACCCCCACGTGGATGCTGAATCTTCACAGTAATTGATTCAGTTGCTTCACAGTGCAAGCCTCGGTCCTGAGCCCACAGTCCGGAGCCAGGGAGAAGTGGGTAGGAGATGGCTCTGACTTGCCCCCAGGCTCCACACACCACCTGCTCCCTCATCCACCCCACTCCTTCCTTCTCGAAACATTGAAAACTGGTATTTCAGCTTCTAAATGTCAGTTCCAGCCGGGAGAGGCTAGCACTCACCCAGGTCTTCCTCAAAGGTAAATTTGCAGAGCAATTAAATCGTCACTTGCAGAGTCAGGGACAGGCCCTGGCTGAGCAGGACCTGCCCAGCCCACCTGGCCCTGCCTGTGTCTCCCGGGTCCACCTAGAGAGGACACCTGACCCAGCTGTGCGGGGGCTGCTGCGGGGCCTTGGGAAGTAGTTCTCTGTTTGCAGAGGGGCCTGCGGCACACCTGGCTCATCTGGAGCTGCGGATGAAGGGTTTACTCAGCAGCTAATGCCCGATTACGCTGTGGGAAAAACCAGGCCCTGCCTTAGGGTGCCAGAGGGTGAGGGGGACTGGCTGGGCAGGCCTGATGCTGCCCCCCGGGGGGCTTCAGCTGCCCAGCAGGGGCCAGTGTGAGTGAAAACTAGGGTGAAGGGTGAAAGACCTCGAACTTCCAAAGGGCTACAGGCAAAACACACACTCTCAGATTCTGCAGTGCCTTTAGGGGACCTCAGGGTCCTGTCCCTGCTATCCTGAGGAGTAGCAAGTCCCAGGAGGGGCAAGTCTGCCCAAGGCCACCCAGCAAGCAGGGCCACTCCACATCACCCCCTCCTCCTGACACCCTCCATTCCTCTTGGCCTGGTTTCCGTGGGCTACGCATATGGGCTGCCCAAGTTTCAGTTCTAACTAGGGCCTGGAAGTTATTTGAGGGCAGCAAATAAGGCCACAGCCAAGAGGCTGCCGGCAGGAATCTAAATCAGGAGCACCTACTCCACCTGGCAGCCCTGGGGCCAAGGTGCACACTGCAGACAGGCAGCATGTGGCCCAGGAAGGCAGGTTCCGCCTGGCCTGCCCACTCCCTTGAACAGAGACCACCCTGGGAGACCTCCTGGGATCTGCCCGACTCCCAAGTTGCCTGGCTCTGGAGGGGGCGGGCCCTTTAGGTACTGCACAGCCCGTTTGATGGCTCCTTAGCATATGAAAAGATGTGACTTGAAACAGAAAAATGCATAGCAAACCTAGAGGGGACACTTCTGTAGGCACAGATCAAACCGCCTGATCCCACCCCTGCAAGACGAGGTGGTGGAGAACAAGCCGGTCAGCCAGCCCAACTGCAGAGAACAATTTAATGCTGAAAACACACCCAGTTGCACCCCACACAGCTCCACCTCCAGGAATGTAGCCTTTGGTGATATTGGCAAGTGCATGACATGATGTGGCAACAACGTTGCGTGTCATAGCAGAGGCTGCCGACAACACAATCTCACTAGAAGTCAGGGAAAAGCCACATGCGAAGTCCCCACAGCCAAGAGGAAGCCCGACCAGGCTTCTCCTGGCACCCGCTCCAAGAATGACCATCAAGGTCAAAGCAGGGGCAGAGGGCACTCATCCTCCTCCCGCTTCCGTGTGGGAAAAGATCACAGATCTCGGCTCCAGATGTGTGTCTGCACGGACGGTCTTGGGAAGCACACACAAGAAACGGGGAGGATGGGAAACAACAGGTGGGTGGGGACAGGGTTGGAGGCTTTGCTGTGGACCTTTTGTACCCCTTGAATGATGCACTATGCACATTTTTATTCAAAAAAATTAAAAAGGGCCGGGTGCAGTGGCTCACACCTGTAATCCCAGCACTTTGGGAGCCCGAGGCAGGTGGATCACGAGGTCAGGAGATCAAGACCATCCTGGCCAACATGGTGAAACCCGATCTCGACTAAAAATACAAAACATTAGCTGGGCGTGGTGGCGGGTGCCTGTAATTCCAGTTACTCAGGAGGCCGAGGGAAGAGAATCGCTTGAACTTGGGAGGTGGAGGTCATAGTGAGCCGTGATTGCACCACTGCACTCCAGCCTGGGCAAGAGAGCGAGACTGTCTCAAAATAATAAATAAATAAATAAATAAATAAAAAGATACAAAAGCCCCCCAAGGAGGCTGCACTCTGGGTACCTCTGTCACCTGCAAAGTGGCCTCATAGGAGGTGCTGGGGTCAGGAGCCTCCCGGCCCTCTCTTTGTTGGGGATTGGGAGAGGTGGTGTTTTGTGTGCAAGTGGAGGGGGTCCAGGCTAGCATGCTCACCGACTGCACTGCTGAGGCTCCCCAGCTCTGAAGTGTCTGTCTGCAGTGAGGGAGGAGTGTGGGAGAGTGGGGGTGGCGGTGGGATCGCCAGTCCCTGCCGCCCTTTCTCCCTCCCCCTGCAGATTTGCAAGCTTCAGGACTTAGGCAAATGACTTCCTTGTGGTTTCCAGCACTAAAGAGCTTGCAGATGCACAGACTCACAGGGTGGGGAGAACACAGGTCTCTGGGGTGTCCCTTCTACCCACAGGCCCGACCCACCCTGCCACCCAGCTTGTGGCCAAGAGCCCACCCCTGCCTCTTCTGTGAAGGGGAAGGATGACTTGATGTCTGTGACCTCACTAAAGACTCACAAACAACGCTGGGAGATGGGTTCTATGGTGGCCTCACTTACAGTGAGGAAACTGAGGCACAGAGAGGCAAAGAGGCTGAGCCAGCATCGAACATCTACGAAGGGGCAGGGCCAGGCTTCAAAGCCTCTTCAGCTCCACCCCAACACCTGTGTTAGGACATCTGCGCCTCCTCCTCAAGCCACGGCAAGCGTGAGGCAGGAAGGAACAGCTGGCTCCCCTCTGTTCACCTCATGACTTCTGGAGCCCTGAAAGTCCCCCAACCACGACCACTGATCTGAGCGAACCGCCTTCTGGGGACCCCAGGAGCCTGGAGGCAAAGCTGAAATAGCTGCTGCCAGCTGACCCAAACTTCCAGACAGGTGCCAACACCAGGGTTCCAGAGCCTGCGGAACTTGTGATGCTCTTGTACAGATGGGGAAATTGAGGCCTAGAGAGGAGCGGGTACCCAGTGCTGGCTCCACCACCGACTGTGTGACCTCGGGCAAGTGGTTTAATGTGTAGGTCCCTCCGTTTCCTCCTGTATAAAATGGGGATGACAACAGTCCTTCCCTTACGGAGTTGTTTTGGGGCAAGAAATGAGATAATAGGTGAAAAATGCTGAGAATAGTGCCTGGCACATAGTAAGTGCTCAGTGAACATTAGCTTTTATTATTACTACTATCGAGGCCCAGAGGACCCAGGGGAGCTCAGCAATACCCCTCCCCAACTTTCCCTATCACACCCAACACACATCCACCCTCTGAGGGCCAACACACCACATCAAGCCCACAGCCTTCCCCATCACCCCACACAGACCCACCGCGGCCAGGGCACCCCAAGGTCTCAGCTAACCAAAGAACTGGTGGGGAAGGCTGGGGCTCCTCCCTCCCACTCCGTTTCTCCTCTGCTGGACCAATGAAGACATGATGTCCCCATGGAGACAGGCCTTGCCTGGAGTCCCACAGAAGCAGAATTTATGCAATTCCAGGGGCAGGTCAAGGGCTAGGAATCAGCATTCCGAAGCTGAGGCTACAGCAACACAGAAGAGGCAGTAGGACCCCAGATCTGCCTGCCTCAGCCCACCCCAGCCCACCCCAGGGTCAGAGGCAGACCAGGCTGCCCGGCTCCCCTGCAGCAAAGCACAGCCTCACTGCCAAGTCACTAATGGGGGATATTAAATAATATTTATCTCCCCAGTTCCTCCCACAGCTCAACTAAATATAGCAACTAATTTTTTTGAAAAAGGATTTCTGCTCCAGAAAGATAATATTTATATAAGAGGTGGGTTTCATAAACCAATACAAAACCCAATAGTCCTTTTCTGACAGCTCTTCCTAATTTCCGAGCTAGCCTAAGTCATAGGATCCCAGAGCTGGAATACCTTCCCCTCTGGCTGGCTGGGAACACCAACAGGGAAAGAATCCAAGTCCCCAAAGGATGCAGACCCCGGCTGCACCCCAGAGATGGTGGGGACGTTTCTCCCGGGACTGCTCACACTCTGCCCTGTGCTGAGGGCACGAGCAAGGGGTGGCAGGTCCTGCCTGAAGGGACGTGGGGAGGGCATCTCTATCTTCTACCCTCATGGGACCTCCAAATTGCCAGGCCACACTAGGACAGTACCCAGTGGCACTCAATGTGCCTTTTGGCAGAAAAGATCCCCACTCACCTCTGAAGGAGATGACGAAGAAATGCTACCCCTCCACCCGAACAGCAAGGGCCTGAAGTCTCCCTCCCTGCTCAGAGACGGGAAAGGCCTCCCTGGCAGCTCCCCGAGGCCTTGATTCCGCCACCTCAGGAAGGTGGGACTCCCGCCTCAGCAGTTCAAAGCCCCCACCGACTCCACCAGCCACATCCGCTTCAGAAAGAGGAAGACCTGGGGTGGGGGGTGGGGGTGGGGGCCCCAAGGCCGCTAGCTGAGGAGAGGCACCTTCCCGGGCGTTTTCTGGAGCTCTCAGGGGAGACCTGGGGCCAGCTGGGAGGCTGAGCCTGAGTCTGCGGCCGGCGACGGACGGGTCAGCGCTGCACCTGCAGAATGCCGGCGGGGGCGGCGCGGCGCGGGGATGGAGTACGATCCAGGATGGGGTGGAAAACGCTCACAAGGTGGACGGGGCCGTGGTGCAGGTGGGATGTCCGGGAGGTGTCAGGCGCAGGGGGTACCAGGCGTCGGGTCTCCCAAGCTGGAACCCGCCCCCAGCCCTCCGCGCCCGCGAAGGTGTCGGCCTAGCCCCGGGTGCTGCAAGAGCATCGGAAGAGGTTTCCGGAGCCCTCGCTTCCTGCCCGCCCGCCCGCTGGGGCCGAGAGCCGGGTGGGGAGAGGACCGCTCCGTCGCCGGGGACAGGAGGGGAAACTGAGCCTGCCGCGCGCGCGGCCCCGCTCTCCTGCCAGGCCCGCGCGCTCACCGTTGGGGCCGTAGCGCTCCCGCGCCTCGGTCACCTGCTCGGGGCTCAGGCCGCCCTCGGCTGTCACCGAGAAGTGGCGCAGCACGTCGGCGGCCGGGAGCAGGTGCGCCGCCTCCATGCCGCCCGCCCGGCCCTGTGAGCCGTCCGCACCGTCGAGGCCGCCTCTCCGCCGGGCTACAGCGCGGAGCGCGGTGGGCTAGGGCGCGTGTGGGCGCCGCGAAAGGCCATGTCTGCGCTGGGACCTTCCCCAACGGCAGTGGCGGCGGCGGCCCCCGCCCGGGCCAGGATGCTTCGCCCGGGGCTCCCTCCCCGGGGCGGGGCGGCGCGGGGCCCGCCCCCATCACACCCTTTCCGGCCGCCCTCCCAGCCCGCCAGCCAGCCAGTGCGGCAGAGGGGAAACTGAGGCCGCCGGCGGGGCGCGCGGCCCGGGGCGGGAGGTCCTGGTCCGGGTCCGCAGAGCTGCTGGGGTTGGGATCTGTCCGAGAGCGGGGGCGGGCTGCGGAGCGCCTGGCTCTGGGCTGCGAGTCGCCTTTGAGGTCTCCCCGGCCGGGGCACCCTGCTTCCCAGCTAGACTTCTGCGAAGTGGATTCAGAGGGAGCCCAAAAGCCTGTGAGAAAGCGGGGCTCCTCTAGAGGAGAGTGCTGGGTGTTTTCCTTATTTGGCGTTTCTTTATTCTTTCTTCTTTTCCAGTCCCCACCCAGGGGGTGTTCTTCCCCAGAACCTCTAGCAGGGAACCGGCGCAGAAGAAAGTTCAGAAAACCCGGCTGGTTACCCTAGACTCACGCCGTCACCCCAGCAGGAAATGTGACCAGGGAGCAGGGGTGTGGCTCCCCAGAGGGGCCCGAGGGGTGCGGTGGGGGGCTTTCCCCAGGGCTCCCAGGGGACTGACCCCGGCCCAGGGAGGGCGAGGGATGGAGGAGCCACTATTCCAGCGCTCCCCCCGCTCCGGGAGTGCCTGGAGTAGCGGCTTCGGGGCAGAGGAGGAAGTCGCAGGAAGGCAGAAACCACGCGCCAGGCCAAAAGGAGGAGATAGGAGAACAACCTGATCGCAGCTCCCTCCAGCTTGACTCAGACAGCCTCCCCCGCGCCTCGGCCTCCACCTGCCTCCCCCGCGAACTGGGCTCTGCGTCTAGAGCCTCAGCCTCTGCCACCCACCAAGGCTGCACCGGGTCACAGATGCCAGGATTGAGCCCGCACAGCTGGCTGTTCAAACCCCAAACCCTTCGTGCCCCGCAGCCAGGAGCTTTCCGCCCCTACAACACAGCCCCACCCCGCCGCCCACTCCTGAGAGCCTCAACTTCCAGCCTTGCCTGGAGCGGCTAACCCCCACCCAGATCATGCACACCCCAGCTTCTGTGCTCTTCCTCCCGGGACCGGACCGGGATCTTCCTCCTTTCTGCCTCTCAGAGCCTTCCTGAGCAAAGACATTCCCTGAGGACTGGCTGGAGAAGGGTTCTTCGTGGCTTTTGGTTGGTGGTCCAGGTGGATACTCGGTATCAGCTGCACCCCAGCCTGCTGCTGTGGAGCTAGAGGAATGCTGGTCTTCTGGCTGTGGCTCCTCCCAGCCTGCTATTTTATGTATTGTTTTCATTATTATTATTTTTTTCTTTTTTTTCCGACGGAGTCTTCCTCTGTCACCAGACTGGAGTGCAGCGTTGACATCTCAGCTCACTGCAACTTACACCTCCCCGGTCCAAGTGATTCTCCTGTGTCAGCCTCCCGAGAACCTGGGATTACAGGTATCTACCATCATGCCTGGCTAATTTTTATATATATATTTTTTAAGAGAAGGGGTTTTGGCTGGGCGTGGTGGCTCACGCCTGTAATCCCAGCACTTTGGGAGGACGAGGTGGGTGGATCACGAGGTCAAGAGATGGAGACCATCCTGGTCAACATGGTGAAACCCCATCTCTACTAAAAATACAAAAAATTAGCTGGGCATGGTGGCGCATGCTTGTAATCCCAGCTACACGGGAGGCTGAGGCAGGAGAATTGCCTGATCCCAGAAGCGGAGGTTGCAGTGAGCTGAGATGGCATCATTGCACCCCAGCCTGGGTAACAAGAATGAAACTCCGCCTCAAAAAAAAAAAAGAGAGAAGGGGTTTTGCCATGTTGGGAAGGTTTGTCTCAAACTCCCGACCTCAGGTGATCCGCCCACCTCAGCCTCTCAAAGTGCTGGGATTACAGGCACGAGCCACCACGCCCAGCACAATTATTATTTTTTTGAGATAGGGTCTGGCTCTGTCACCCAGGCTGTAGTGCAGTGGCATGATGACACCTCACTGCAACCTCCACCTCCCGGGCTCAGGCGATCCTCCCACCTCAGCCTCTGGAGTAGCTGGGATTATAGGTGTGAGCCACTACGCCCAGCTAATATTGTTATTTTGGTAGAGACAGGGTTTCACCATATTCCCCAGGCTGGTCTCAAACTCCTGGATTCAAGCAATCCACCAGCTTTGGCCTCCCAAAGTGCTGGGATTACAGGTGTAAGCCACCGAGCCACCCTCAGCCTGGCATTTTAGATCTCAAGTTCGATATTCCCAGATATTTCCACCCGATCCCTTTCTCCCCCACTGCTGTAGTCCACACAATCCCAACTGTATCCCTAAGTTGCCAGGAAAAATGTCAGCCAGGACGTGACTGGACAGAGCCTCGAAGTTCCCCACTAGACCCCTTTCCCAGTCACGCAAAGCCCTAGGCCTGCGAGCAGCTGGGAAACCCTGGCTCAGCCCTACATGCATCTCCTGGTTTGACTCCTTCTCTGCCAGCCCTAGGGACCTTAACCCCAGCCTCTCCCACTCCACCGAACCCTCAGTTATGAGTTGGTATTTGCTAGAAGGCAGGGCCAGAAGGCCTGAGTGTTTGCTCTGGCAGCCATGCCTATGTCCCCTTTCACCAGGTCACCCCACCCTACCTCAAACGACCATGGCAGGACAAACAGCTGCCAGCAACTGGGGCCATCGCCTGGCAGCTCACACACCTGTCAGCATGCCCACCTGCTTGACTGGCCCTGTCACAACTTCTGGGCACTCCTCCACGCTCCCGCAGCCTGCTACCTGCCCCGTGGCATGGGGCCCTCCTCATTATGCTGTTTTCGCGCCTGGACAGACAAACAGCTGGTGGCCAGGGTGACATGGTCACAGTCAGTCTATCCAAAGGGCAGGCCTGCCTTTCCCACCTCCCAGCTGCCAGGAACCGGGAGATCCACGCCTGGTACCTAGACACGGCTCTTTCCACCTCCTTTACCGGACAGAGGGTGGCAGAACATACCACCTATCTGGCAGAGGCCTGTCTTCCCGCCTTGCCTGAGGGCACCGGGTGGGCGTGAGGAAAAAGAGGTCTTCCCTGGAATGATTTATTTATTTTTACTTTGAGACGGAGTTTTGCTGTATCGCCCAGGCTATAGTACAGTGGTGTGATCTCGGCTCAGTGCAACCTCGGCCTCCCAGGTTCAAGCGATTATCCTGCCTCAGCCTCCCGAGTAGCTGAGATTACAGGCACCTGCCACCACACCCAGCTAATTTTTGGATTTTTAGTAGAGATGGGGTTTCACCATGTTTGCCAGGCTGGTCTCTAACTCCTGACTCAGGTGATCCGCCCACCTCGGCCTCCCAAAGTGCTGGGATTACAGGCATGAGCCCCTGCACCTGGCTTTTCTGGAATGATTTAGACACATGGAGAAGAGGGTGTTGCAGGCAGACAAAACCAGCCTGAGTTGAAGGTGAGAAATCTCAGCCATATGTCGGGGATGGTGATTCAATCCCTTAGAGTGAAGGGGATTGAATCATAAGGAGCAGAAGTGCACGGACCAGGAGGGTAGATTAGAGAGACAGGGCTAGGATACTGCGAACCTCAATTGTCTGTGTAATATCCCAGGTTTTGTACTGAAGGCCTTTAAAGCAATGGAGAGATGGGGCCAGGTTTGCCTGCTACAAACAACCCCCATAGAAGCTGGTATGGAGAAGAGATTACAGGGGAGAGCCATGGCTGAAAGGACTGTGGGTCGGGGGCCAGGGACATGCGCCAGCACCCGATTTCCCTCAGGCCTCCTCAGGGGAGGAGCCTCTCAGCTGTGGAGGGAATACCTGTGATTATTTGTTTCACACATTGCCCCCAGTTAATCCTCATAATAACACTGGAGGAGTATTTGCTTATCCCCATTCAGAGCTGGCTTCATGGGCGTGCAACCTGCATAGGTCACCTGTTGTCAGAAGGACCCTCTGCTTGATTTTTGTTGTTTTCTTAGAGATGGGTCTCACGGTGTTGCCCAGGCTGGATTCCATCTCCTGGACTCAAATGCTTCTCTTAGCCCTGCCTACTGAGTGGGCAGGACCACGGGAATGCACCACCACACCCGGCCTACCATCCGCTTGGTTTAACACTCTGCAACTGCCATCTTGAAATTCTTTTTTGAGACAGAGTCTTGCTCTGTCACCCAGTCTGGAGTGCAGAGGTGTGATCTCAGCTCTCTGCAACCTCTGCCTCCCGGATTCAAGAAATTCTCCTGCCTCAGCCTCCCGAGTAACTGGAGGTTACAGGCTCCCGCCACCACACCCACCTACTTTTTTGTATTTTAGTAGAGACAGGGTTTCACTGTGTTACTCAGGCTGCTTTTGAACTCCTGAGCTCAGGCAATCCACCCACCTCAGCCTCTCAAAGGGCTTGGATTACAGGTGTGAGCCACCGCACCCGGCCTTGAAATTCTTAATACAGTAATTTTCTCATTGAACTTGTGCTTTGTAAGTGAAGCCTGATGGGAAATGGAGCATGCAGTGAGTGCAGGAGGCCTGCCTAGTCTGCTGTCTCTTTCACTCACATGCTCCCTGTGCTCCGTGAGCACGGAACTCTGGTAGACTCACGATTCGTGGGAGTTCAGTGGACTCAAATCAAGTCTGGGGGAATGTGTTACATCTGCAGCTGAGCAAGCGGGGGTGCTGACAGCTGAGAAGGCCCACTTTCCATTTGACCCCGAATTTGCTTCATGCAGAAAGAAGACAGTACAGTCGACCGGGCACAGTAGCTCACACCTGTAATCCCAAGACTTTGGGAAGCCGAGGCGGGCAGATCATGAGGTCAGGAATTCGAGACCAACATGACCAACATGGAGAAACCCCGTGTCTACTAAAAATATAAAAATTGGCCAGGTGTGGTGGCACGTGCCTGTAGTCCCAGCTACTCAGGAGGCTGAGGCAGGAGATCACTTGAACCCAGGAGGCAGAGGTTGTGGTGAGCCAAGATCACGCCATTGCACTCCAGCCTGGGCAACAAGAGTGAAACTCTGTCTCGGAAAAAAAAAAAAAAAGAAGAAGAAGAAGACAGTCGTGTTCTGTGAAACACGAAAGGTCTGGGATCCCTGTCATATCATTTCTTATTCACATTACTTCCTTGTATTAAACAGCCACTCATGTTCAACATGACACAGAAGAAAAGGAAAAGATAAGGCAACCCATGGTTCCTTTTCCTTTCAGCTCCTTACTCATCAGTAAAGCAAAGACAGAGGGTGTGGGTAGAGTGTATTCATATCCACAAGCGAAATGGAAACATTTCATGTACATCATTTTCCTGTTCTGCTCAGCTACACACTGAGACCTGGTAATTTTAGTGATTACACAATATGAGTTAAATGCTCTTCATTTTGCATCTAAAGCTGACATTGCACAAAGTAAAGATACATGATACAATTTCATGCAAATAATTAAAAATTTTAGTTCTTCTTTTCTTAGAAAATTAATTTGTAGGCTAGGCGTGGTGGCTCATGCCTGTAATCCCAGCACTTTGAGAGGCTGAGGCAGACGGATCATTTGAGGTCAGAAGTTTGAGACCAGCCTGGCCAACATGGTGAAACCCTGTCTCTACCAAACATATAAAAAATTAGCCTGGTGTGGTGGCACACTCCTGTAGTCCCAGCTACTCAGAAGGCTGAGGCAGGGCAATTGCTTAAACCTGGGAGGTGGAGGTTGCAGTGAGCTGAGGTTGTGCCATTGCACTCCAGCCTGGGCAAGAGTAAGAGTCTGTCTCAAAGAAAAGGAAAAAAAGAAAAGAAAATTAAATTGTAGATTTTTTCAAAGCACTGTGACACGTTGAGAGACACTGCACAAGAAAGGAAAAGTTTTATATTTGAGCGCCTTGAATGACACTTTTCTCCCTGTTTTAAATTTTATTTTAAACATTTTTTTGAGATGGGGTCTCACTCAGTTGCCCAGCAGGAATGCAGTGGTGCGGTCATGGTCCACTGCAGCCTCGAACCGCTGAGCTCACTCCATCAGCCTCACTTTCCCTTCAGCCTCCCCCGCCCCCCTCCCCACCAGTAGCTCGGTCTGCAGGTGCACACCACTGGTTAATTATTTTTAAAATTAGTTTGTAGAGGCGGGTCTTACTTTGCCTAGGCTGGTCTCCAACTCCTAGGCTCCCAGGATCCTCCCACTTCAGCCTCTCAACGTGCTGGGATTGCATATGTGAGCCACCGCATCTGGCCCCTCTGTTTTTTAAACGAAGGGTCCCCGTTTTCATTTTGCACTGGGCTCCACAAATTATGTAGCCAGTCTTCTTCCCATTTAACAGATAAGAGCCTGAAAGGCTGTGAGGGTGCTCAGCTGGGATTCAAATCTGATCTGACCCCAGAGCACAGGCTCCTAAGCAAACCCCCGCCTTCCTGTCAGGGTCTTCCAACAGTGGCTTCTCGGCTCACTGCAACCTCTGCCTCCCAGGTTCAAGCGATTCTCCTGCCTCAGCCTCCTGA